TATTGTTCAATCATAATAATGTCAAAAAGATAGATGCTGAAAACGTCATCTCTCCTGATTCTTTTACAAAAGTATTTAAAAATAACAGTATTAACGAAAATTTATAACACGCAATTTTAATATTATAATCTCGGATATTGTTTTGCATGCAGCATTCACCTGTTTTTAGTTATGCAATTCGTTTTAAACCCATAAGTGTTGTGTCTCTTGTAATTATTTTTTGTATATAACTATTGGTGAATCAAATCCATACTAATCTTTTAAATGCGAAAGTGTATCTGTCTGTCTGTTACCCTTTCACGCTTAAGATGCGGAACAGATTTAGATGGAATTTTGTAGTTAGTTTGAGCCTCGGTAAAGGATATGGGATAGTTTATATCTCAGAAATCACTCTTTAGGGGGGGGGGGGGGGGGGTGAAAAGGGGGGATGGAAGTTTGTATGGGAAATCAATAACCGCTGAACCGATTTTAATGAAAGTTGGCATGGAGGTGGCAAAAGCCAGTAAATAAATAAATCTTTGAATGTAAGAACGTGAACGTAAACTCTGATGCGAACTTAGCTAATTTATCGCACGGTTATATTTAAATATTAATGATAGATTTATAAAATTCTTGTCTTTTCATCATTAATTTCATCATACTTATGGTTATGAGTCAGTGAAATATGTAACATTGCCTTGAAGAAATTTGGCTGGTCACTTTTCAGGCAAAAAGAAAAGAATATAAGTTAGGGTAAATATATTAGGTAGGTATTAAGTACATACTTTTGAATAGCCTGACATTACAACCAGAAGGCCAATTCTCGTAATAAAAGTTCTGTCTAAATTTTAGTTCCGATCAACTTTCGATCTCACAACTGTCATAAAAGATATTTCGTCGTAAAGTATTAAATATCCAACGTTGACTGTAATATGATTATATCGTATTGTAGCTGAAAATTAAATCGGTAATCTGCTGGTCTTAGTAATACTTTACTATTGTACTTACTTTACTATTGAGACTGAACTTTTATTACGAGAATTGTCCTTCAGCTATGACGCGTTAATTTCCGTAAACATATATCCATACTTATATTATACTAGCTGAGACCCGCGGTGTTACCCGCGTTTGTTGTTATAACCGCGGGCAACGCCGCGGGGCGAAGCTAGTCTAAAAAAAGTAGCCTAAGTTACTCCTTATGTCATCAGCTATCTGCCAGTGAAAGTCCCGTCGAAATCGGTCCAGCCCTTCCAGAGATTACTCAGAACAAACAGACAGACAGACAGACAAAAATTGTAAAAAATGATATTTTGGCATATGTACCGTGTAAACATACATGTGCATTTAGTAAAAAGCGGTTATTTTAATATTACAAACAGACACTCCAATTTTATTTATTTGTATAGATGTGAAAGTAAGTTTGTGCGTTTGTAACGATTTCAAAAGCTAAGATGGCAGGACCTGGATAAGCCAGAAGCCCGAAATAGATCTAAGTGGCGTGCAATGGAAGAGGCCTATGTCCAGCAGTGGTCTGCGATAGGCTGATGATGATGAAATTGGGGTAAAGATACCAACTGAACTGAAGACTGCACGAATATTGAAGTGGTTTAAGCGGTCACCTCGCCTTTTAGTGATGGAAATTAATGCCACTTTGAAATAATTATTATATATTTCAATGATTGGTTTTAGTCACTGCGATAACTCCTGTTATAAATCACTACTGAGATTTGGTCATAGACAAAGATACCAAGGAATACAGTGATTGAACCTTTAATAAATATATTGATTTTTTAATTTTAGATTTAGTCCTTAGGCGAGTCTGGCGCTACCGTAATCATAATAATAACTCCCAGTCGCAGTGGTTTTTTAGATTAGTCACAGATATGATGCGTTTTAAATCATTTGATTTGTCAGATGTGATTGTGATTTTATACTACTAATCTATTAAATTCTAGTTCACAGTTAGTAACCGACATACTTGTGGAAAAATGTTGCGGCTGACTTATGTATATACCTCCGTGAATCTTCACATTATCTTAATTAAACAGTCACCAGCTGTTTGCTTTCCAAAGAACATTAATAGATGAATATTGAATCCATAGCTACCTCGTGATAGTATAACACGAAATGTTCATAAACTTTTGTTTGTCTAACTACGTATATGGAGAAAGTACGTGATTGTTGTATAATAGGATAAAACAATGTTCCACGGCAAATGTTTGCAGTTTGCTTTGCATGTTTATTGTATCAGTATGTCCTTTATTCCTTGTACTCTGGAATTATTATAACACATTTAAGGAATGATAATAATAGTAATAACAATATGACTTTAGACAGTTAACACACGGTATATTTCTAAATATATACAAATAAACGTTTACATTAGACCCAGACACAGAACAATTAATCGTGCTCATTACACGATTATTTGTCCTGAGTGGGAATCGAACCCACGACCTCCGACTTAAGCAGTCAGGGTTATCAACTACTAAACTAACTGACTGACTAACAATTCTAAATGTAAATAATACTATACTTTTTAATTTATAAAGAAGAAAAAAGTAGCTGATAGTATCTTTTATAGGGCAGCAGCTGAAAGTTTAAAGACTATTTAACTTTAAAAACTCAGTTTGTGACCCAAAAGAATTTGTAACCCTTTTTCTAGAACTTAATGAGAGTCAACAGGAGTTTATTTAATCTGCCTATACGATAATCTCTATCGATACAAACTTTCCTTATTTCATCATACACTTGTAAGTTACGAAATACAAAAGCTTCTTATGCTTTTTGGGTGCCTAAAGTAGTAAAATGATATACTAATGAATGTTGATAGTTATTCTGACTGCGTTTTTTTAAGCTAAATATTTTAGAGAAAATATGTCCAGGTCTCGCCAACAATTTTTGTATTATATATGTATAAAAATAGAACTTAAGAATTAAAATATCGAACTGATTTTGTCAAGTATAAATTCAAACTGTCATTTAAGTCCCATAAAAGAAGGTTTATGCCAAAACAAAATATTGGATTCGATTTTAAAGAAAAAGAATCTTAATCATTTTGATAAATGACCAAAATGTTCAGTATCTACTTATACCTATATACATACTTATGTATAAGATGTAATAAAAAAAAAACACTGTGTTTAACAAAGGGGTAAAATAAGCAGACTGCCGCTTCTATAAGTGCATGCCCCAACGCAGTTAGGACTCCGGTAGCCTCTTTCATTCCGTGAAAAGCAACGAAGCAATCGTTTAACGCCGATTTTCTCTGAGACCGTGGTATCACTCTATTCGAGACGGTCTAACCTTCCGCGGAAGGCTCTCGTGATTAAACAAGCTATTCACAAACTAAACATAAATTTCAGAACAAATTAAAAAGTTGAGATGGTCCTCTGTGAAAAAAGGAATGCAAGTGACGCTCATTAAAACTAATCCTTGGCGTTTACATACACAATTATATGTACAATGAAACTACGCCTTGTCAGCTAAAATGTCAACAATATTTACAAGTAAAAATCAAAGTACAAGAGATAAAAAGTAGGATAGAACCACATTTTACACACAAGTAAGCGTAGAAACCAATATTTTCAGTAAAATAAAATTGATATGGCCCACGCACACATGTTTATAAAACCGGCCTCACTTCGTTCTTCGCTAAGTTCCATCTTGACTTTGTTATTTGAACTGAGACCTAAATATGACTAACTAAATACATTTCGAAAACCGATAGATTAGGAAAGAATAATGTAGAACATTATCATTGTTTTATATAATATATTTGAACCACGCATGTGTGATATGATTATAACTAAAAATAACTGAGGAACTGCCTAAGCGCCATTGATTAGTATACAAGGAATCAACATTTATTTTAAACGTGTAACCTCTGCCGTAAAAGCATATTTAATCACGTAGCTAACTTTGTCGGTAGATTAAAAATATTTATAAGATGATCAAATCTAGATCGTGAGAGAGATAAATGCTAAATTCGGTAGTAGATAACAGATAAAAATCTTATCTAACATAGGGATATATTAGTTACTGATACAAGTGGAAAAACAAAATTGTGATACTGATCTTAGATGGATGATTAGACGTCGAATGATGTCGTATGCAAATTATGAAATAGAATGCAGATATTTATTTATAATATACTTATATTCTTTCTTTTTATTATTTATTTATAACTTATTTATTTATAATACGCTTATGTTGCTACCCTTTCTCAATTTTACTTGGGGTCGTAATATGAAACCCATGCCATGGATTTTGTCTAGTTTCTTTTATCGCCGAGTTTCTTGACACTAACTTGCCGGAGCAAACGTACTACTCGTATTTAAAATTGGGGTAAAGAAAACAGATAGGCTGGGAGCTCGCTAGACTCGGATAGAAAACATAATTATTGAAATTGATTGAGTTAAGCTATTTTTGAAATCATCAAACACTTAATAAACAACAGTAGATAGCCGGATCTATTGAAAAATGTAAATGAATGAAAAAAAAAATTGTTTAACTTACTATAAACTGAGTGATGACTTTGTCATTGTTGTGAGGAATAGGGTTGAAATCAGAGTATCAAATGCTTGATAGTTACATAAAACGTTACAATAACAAGATATAATGTTTCTATCTAATATTTATAACTTTACAGGTTGCACCGGCTGTGGTCACAGACTTGCCCAAAAAATCGTCAGCGTTTTCAATTACGGTAGCCTGAACCTGATTATTTGCTTTTGTTTTTAATATTTCTTGTATTGCAATAGTTCTTTTTTCGCTATTATATTTTGTAGTTAAAAGGGGTAACAATATTTTTTTGGAATTGAACGATTTTAGGTGGATGAAAAGTAATAAAAATATCTAAGCACTAAAATAGTTAATAAGTGTCTGTAATAAAATAACACTTATTTGAGTCCCACGATAATTATTACCAACGGCAGTGTAATTGTTTATGTTTACGCCAGTACACACACTAAGATAAATGATATGGAGCACAGCACTACAGTAATCAAATATTTCCTCACCAAGTAATTCATGATCACTGTGCACTATACTGATCCGCACTACACTGTGATCTGATCCACAATGATCTTGATTACGTTCATCTCACCTTTTATATTCACTGTTCGCTCTGAGGTTATTGTCGTCGACGCACATTAATTATTTCAATTTTAAAAATGTATGTTTGGAATAGGAGACATATTGTTTTGTGATATTGTAATGGACATTATTATTATGTTAACAACATAAGAACAAGGCTAAATATAATATTATTCGTTGTGGTTACTTAAAACTTAAGTTAAAAATGTAAGCTTTTTTAAAAAAAAGGTTTTAGTTAGTTTAAGTTTTAGTTATTTTCTATTTAACTCCACAGAGATACATATTTTCTTTAGAGTTCTCTTATCATGTAACTATCGCTTAGAGAGTCTTTAGTAACTAAGTTTGGTAATCATAATTTTGCTGGTAGAAACATGTCTAAAATCATTATTTATTTAAAAAATACATTTAAATGTATGAGCGTCTCTTGGCTAACTGTTAACTGAGTAGGTTAGCATATTGCAAAGTTCAACAATCCTAACCAGGTCAGTCTGTGGATGGGTGACCATTCTTAACACATTGTTAACCCTCCGTGCTTCGTAGAGCATGTTAAGCCGTTCGTCCCTGTTGCCACACAAACATTTTTGACTATCGTGACGGGTATTTGAAGTCCTAAATAGTACGACAACAGTTTGAAATAATTAAAAATTATACACTTCCCTTGACATTTGTTTAGAAAGAAGAAAAGCAAAAAAAAACTTTTTACATGACAAAGAATTCTCTTTAATATTTAGATAGATACTCATAGACTTTTAGGAAGTCTTATGTTTTATACCCTTAATTTGCCAGTTATTCAAAACATATTTTTTTTGCAAAAATGATTTTTTTCTAACTATAATTTTAATCGCATTTAAGTAATATAGATCAAATATTTTGCCGTCAATCGAGCTCTTCAAGAACTAGATGGAGAAATTAAGAAGAAAAGAAAGAATATAAAAGATAAGGCAGATAAGAAAGAAAATCAATTATTGGACGTATTGCTTCTACATGTAAATTGGTGAGTGTAAGTGTTCAAGGACTGCACGGCTGGCGTAGGGTTTTAAGCGGTCACCTCGCTGCGTCCTACTGCGCTAAATGTTGTGTGTTCGAGCCCTGCATTGGACAACACTTTGTATCCACTAATTGTTGTTATGAGTCTGGGTGTTCTTTGTGTCCGTTTCATGTACGTCTGTACAGGATATATTACTAGCGCGGGAGTTCTATTTTTAAAACGAAACGAAAGGAAGTAGGTCAGGGCGTATATCTGTAACTCGAACCAAGACCTCAGCACAGCAGTCGCATACGCTACCACTGCGCCACCGTGACAGTTTTAAATGCATACACGTTATACATAAATCATACAACTATTTGTCCTGGGTGGGAATTGAACCTACGAACTCTGCCCTAACAGTCAGTCACTAATCACTAAACCACCAGGTTAGACGAGTTGGATCAAATGTAATTTTTTTACTTTTATACTACATTTCAGTTCGCTACATTTTTAGTTGCACATTATCCAGATATTATATATTAATTATTAATAAGGCGCTAGTCCTATATAAATCCCATATAATTGCATTTATCTAATCGTCAGTAAATAGAGTTAACCACAGGAGTTTAATCAGTTAATCGCATTGATAAGAAAAAAATATCTCAGTTCTCACGAAACTGAACGCCTTGACCTACACTTGAAAATTTCTCAGAAAAAGATTGGAATTATATAATAAATAATCTGTTTATTCGTTCAGTTATATATAATCTGTACAATGTTAACAAGCTAGTTATTAAAAATAATCGATCACGTGAAAATGTATAGGTACATACGTACATAAAATTTACATCCGGCAATTTCAATTGTTTTAATTGTCGTATACCCAGTGCACCTCTTACAATTACAACGAACCTAACAACACCTCCCTAGTCCAAACCCATTAAGCTGTTTAGACAACAGAGCGCGCCGAAGATTTATATGTTTGTGGCGCAGTAGCGTCAAAATTTAATAATAATAATAGTAGTAACATTATTAGATTCAATTTCAATAGATGGCCTCACCTGTCACCCTTAGCCCTGCGCTTATGGAGGACGGAGGTCGGTCTGCGACCTCCGGCGCCCGTGCCATCTGCGGTACCTGGCCCGGTTTCGGGCCTGGCGAGCCGGGAGGGTTCTGACCCTTCGGAGTGGAAGTTCTCTCGCTCGATAGCCTCATTGCGGCTATCGTGCGGAGCGAGAGTGCGTGGAACGGCGGAGCGGGACCGGGAGAGGGTCAGAACCCTTTTTTTTCCACTATAGTAGGATAATTTCGACCATTATTGCTTTATTTTCAAAATTCCCTCATATTATTACATTGAACAGAAATATATATCTGTAGACTATAAATGTCCAATAATGTGCTAGAAGTATCGAAATATTTCTAAATTATCTAATCTAATTCTAAACTATTTCTATCGGGCACCAAACATTTACAAGACATTCATCCCAAAACATGACTACCAATAAGAAACATTAAGTGAGTTATACTTTCATTTAAAATCTGTACATGTGGCATCATAGAGGAATTTGTTTATTTATGGACCTCTGTTTGTATGTATTTATTTATGTTGTATGTATTTAAGTGTATTAGTTGTATGAATACTGTAAACGTATATAGTAACCTCATATTTATTATACTGATGATGTGTGATTTTTTGATATTATCAGTATAAAGGTTGTCTGTAAGAGATTGCCGTGAGCGATTAGACCGCCAATTGTTACACCAAAATATATTTAATATCTAATTAAAATAAATAAAAGCCTGAAGGGTTTTTGATGTGAATTGAACATGACGTCAGATTGTTGTTATTTTATTTATTTATTTCATGGAAGATCAACAGCTTTAATAGTAGTGTATGACATAAAAATACGCAACATTAAGCCAATAACAGATTCTTAAACTTAATATTAAATTGAACAACAAGAACAGCAAAGTGAATAAAGACATTTATATTTTTAAAAATGAAATCAAAATCATGGTGATGATAATGAAATCAATATCATAGTTGCAATTAAAAAGAAAATGAAGATTAAAATAATCACTAAAATCCAAACCAAAATCAATCTAAATTAAAACCAAGATCGAGATCAAAATCAAAACAAAATCAACATCAAAATCAAGATTAAACATCAGACATCTCTAACTTGGCAGTCTGTACTAATTAATATTTTTACCACTACATTCCTACTATGGGTACCTATTTCTTATTTCTATTTTTATGTGATACTAGATGGTACCAGCGACTTTGTTCGCGTGGAATTTGAAAAGCACTGCCTTTGTGGGTTCGATTCCCGGACCGGGCTAATTTTTAAAGGGTTTTTCTGAGATGAAAAATAGCCTAAGCTACTCCGTATATAGACAGTTACCTGGTAGTAAAATATTATCAACATTGGTCCAGCCGTTTAGAATATTACCCTCATAAACAGACACACAGACAAAAAAAAACTGGTTTTTAGGCGTAGGTATCGTGCAAATAACCGTGTGAACATGAAAAAAACCTATTCTTTTGTCCGACTTGTAAAAAAATCTGAAATGATTTACTTTCAGAAATAAATATCATTTCATTTCATTACAAACAGACACTTCAATTTTATTTATTTGTATGGAAGACTAGCTGCCCCGACAGACTTCGTTCTGACTCACAGTGTTGATGGACATATGTATATTATGTTACTAGCTTTTGCAAACTGCTACGCTTGCGTAAATGTCGCTTTTGTCACTAAATTTGGCCAGGATAGCCTCTGTGTTATTTTAAAGTATAATATATCTATGTGCTAAATTTCGTATAGATCCAGAAAACCGTTTTGACGTTATTGATAACAAACATACATACGTTTCGAAAAGTAAAAAAAAGTTTTTAAGGGTAGTTTTGAAAAATTAGTAGCAACTTTTTTTTATTACTTTTAACAAAGAGTGTGAGTTTAAAAATGCTACTACCAAAAATTTTATATAATTTTCCAGCCCTCAGTTTGCACCCTTAGGGGTCGAATTTAAAAAACAAATCTTAGTGCACACCTATGGAATATTTGTACAAAATTTCATGCTTCTAGACCCAGCGGTTTCAGCTACGCGTTGAACGATCAGTCAGGGAATTAGTCTGTCAGTTTCTTCTTTTATAGACATAGACTAAATACAAATATTATAAAAAAAAGACATATAGTCCCAACACAAATGACATGACACAAATAGTCTTGGATTGGAATAGATACCGGCGTCTCTTGCTCAGCAGTCCAATTCATTTACCATTTGCATAACAGTCGCGTCAAATGTGTTAAAACTAATTACCAATTATATTGATTTATATATTACATAAATATATATATATACCAAATAACTTTAGTATTTTGTTAACTTACTTATTGGATTATTTAGTTAATTACCTAAAGAAGCTAATGAGTAAGTATAAATCGCCATGGTCGTGTTGGGGGCGATGGCAATGAGATTTCCATGTTTAGGTCACCGTGAATGACTCCGAAAGGAAGCCGTACCCACGACCTTTAGGTTTTTCCGACTGTTAAAAAGGCCAAAATGTAAAAGGTGATCAAGTTAGGAGAAACAATTTATTTAAGATAATAATTAAAATAAGGCCACGTTTTCTAAGAATAATAATTCTTGCTTTGTATTTCGGACAGTGGCTAGCCATGTTTCGACACCCACGGGTTGACTCGACCGCAGTGATGACACAGGCTCACAGGAAACCGGTGTTAAGGAATTCTTTCGATGCTTCTTGGAGGCCTAAATCTCCATCTCTCTATTCTGGGGGGCTTAATGACCCATTGAATTGGATGGAGGGGCCCAATCCCACTTAATTCTGGGGAAGGAGGGATACTTAAAGGGGCAAAGCATTTGTTCCTCTTCGCTGGTGGCTCGGAGCTGGGCCTGGCGGGTATCGCCTGGTGTCTCACCTTGCTTAGGCTTGTCCGCCGAGGC